CCCCCCCCCCCCCCCCCCCCCCCCCCCAACCCCCCCCCCCCCCCCCCCCCCCCCCCCCCCCCCCCCTCACGCAGACTCGGAACGCGCCAAGGGCGCCCCCGGCGCGGCCGCCGCCGCCGCCGCCGCCGCCATGGAGGAGCTTGACCTGGGTGATGTGGGGGCTGGGTGGGGCGAGGAGGATCTGGGAGGCATCGGTGGCGGAGGCGAGGGCGAGGGTGAGCGCGCCTGCGGGGGCGCCTGCTGCTGGGGGCTGCTGGGAGCCTGGCTGGGTGCGCGGGGGCGAGGATGGCGGCAGTCGACAGGGGCGGCGGTGCCTCTGGGGCTGCCGCGGCGTGCTGTTGTGTGCAGCAGCGGGGAGTTGGTGCCGCTGCCTGGAAGTGACGTGTGCGTGTTGGCTGCAGAGGGCGAGGAGGGCTTTGCTGACATGGAGGGCGGCGAGGAGGGCGGCGAGGGAGGGTGGGAGATGGAGGTGCGCAGCTGCACATGGCAGTGCCTGGGCTGGGGCAGCGCCATGTTTGAGATCGCCTGCATGCTGCCGGGCCAGCCGGCGCGCCTGCTGCGGCACACACACCGCCTCTCCCCCCCCATGCGCCCAGCCCTGCTCCCCAGCCCTGCTCATCCTGGCCTCCCTACCCCTGCCCTGCCCCCCCTCAGGACCTGGAGATCCCCGCTGACGTGGCGGCTGAGGTGGCCAGCAGCGCCGCTGCCGGCGAGGCCGCCCAGTTTGTGGCGCCCACCCCCGGCGTCTCCGCCGTCAACCGCTGGCAGACCAAGTGCAGCCTGGCGGCGGAGCAGGCGGCGGCGGGCGCCTTTGACACCGCCATGCGCCTGCTGACGCGGTGCGTGGCCGCCGCCGCCGCCGCTGCCGCCGCCGCTGCTGGATTGCCGGCTCGGCGCTCGTGCAGGCGCAGCAGCCCACGCGGCTCGCCCCAATGGCCTGTGCCTTTCCTCCCTCGCCGTCCCTGCCTCCCCCGGCACCCTCCTTACCCCCTGCCCTGCCCTGCCCCCTCCTGCTCCGCCTCCGCTCCATCCTGCTCTGGCCCCGCCCCGCAGGCAAGCGGGCATCGTCAACTTTGAGCCGCTCAAGCCGTACTTCCTGGAGGTGTACCAGGGGTCGCAGGTGGGTGTGGCTGGGTGTGGTTGTGTGCGAGTGTGTGTGCGTGTGTGATGGGTGGTTCTGGGGGCCCTGGCAGGCGCTGCCGCACGTGCGGCACGACACCGGCGCGGCTGCCACGGCGGCAGCCGGGTCGCCGCTGCGTCCCGCCTAGCTCACGAACCAACCAGCTCACGCCGCTGCTGCCACACCCCAAACACACCACCCCATACCTCCCCCCCTGGCCGCAGGGCGTGCTGCCCGGCCTCCCCGGCCTGCCCTCCCTGGTCACCGCCCTGGACCGCAGCTGGAGCTCGGATGCGGCCAAGCAGGAGCCAACGGCGCCTGCGCTGGTGTACAGCCTGGGGCAGCTGGAGGAGCAGCTGAAGAAGGCGTACCGCACGGTGACGGAGGGCAAGTTCAGGTGAGGGCGGTACTGGCGGCGGTACTGGTGGTGGTGCGCCTGGTGTGGCTGCTGGTGGGGTGTTGGTGGTGGAGTGGTGTTGGTGGGTGTTGGGAGGGGTGAGGCGCCGGCGTGGCAGTGTTGTGTAGGGTGTGTGGCCAGCGGTGCGCTGCTGGATGGGGAGCAGCTTGTGCTGGGTTGTAGTGCCACCAGCCGCGGCCCTGCCCCGCCGCCGTGCTTGCCCCGCACCCGGCTGCCGCCCGTGGCTGGCCTGCCCACCGCCTGGTCCTGCGCCTGCCCCCCACCCGCCGCACCCACCCACCACCACCACCCCCTGCAGCGAGGCTCTGCGCCTGTTCAACGCCATCCTGCACGTCATCCCGCTGCTGGTGGTGGGCAGCCGCAAGGAGGCGGACGAGTAGAAGGAGCTGGTGACCATCGCGCGGTGAGGGGGGGTGGGGGTGGGGCTGTTCTGCAGTGGTGGTATCTGTGCTGGTGTGGGCATGGCTGAGTGTGGCTGCATGTTGGTGCGACGCCAGGGGCCCTGCATGCGCCGTGCGTGCCCCACCCACGCCCGCCCGCCCGCCCACCACCACCCACCCCCGTGCCCCCCGCCCCCCCGCAGGGACTACAACATCGCGCTGCGCATCGAGCTGAAGCGGCGGGAGATCCGGGACGACCCGGGTCGCACCGCGGAGCTGGCCGCCTACTTCACGCACTGCAACCTGCAGCGCGTGCACCTGGCGCTCAGCCTGCGCTCCGCCATGTCCATCTTCTTCAAGCTCAAGCAGCTCAACACCTGCGCCACCTTCTGCCGCCGACTGCTGGAGCTGCAGCCTGACGAGAAGGTGCGGGGGCTGGGGGGGCTGGGGGGCGGTGTGCGGTGCAGAGGGCAGCAGGCATCGAGTGGGCGCAGGCAGGGAGTGGCCGCCCCGCCTGCAGCCCCGCTTGGCGCCTTCCCCTCCCCTCCCCTCCCTCTCCATCCTGCCCTCCATCCCCCCGCGAGCGCAGATGGCGGCGCAGGCGCGGCAGGTGCTGGCGGCGTGCGAGAAGAGCCCCACCGACGCTGAGGCGCTCAACTACGACCCGCGCAACCCCTTCGACATCTGCTCCCTCACCTTCACTCCCATCTACCGCGGAAACAAGGTGCGTGGCAGGCGGGCGGCCGGGTGCAGCCGTCTGCGGAGGGTCCTGCTGGAGAAGGGCTGTGCTGGAGGGTCCGGCTGTGGGTGGTGCGAGCCTCTGCGCTGGCGCGATTGATTGTGTGCATGTGCTGGGCTGCCGTCCCATCCGTACCGCCTGTACCTCCCCCCCGCCCCCGCGTGCGCAGTTTGTGGAGGACCCCTACACCAAGGCCCGCTTCCAGCCCGAGTGCGAGGGCCAGCTGAGCCCCGTGGGCGACATCTCCAAGATCGGCCTGGACGCGTCCGGCCTCGTCTCCTCACCCACCCAGCTGCGGTGACGCAGCTGCGGCCGGGATGCCGAGGCGGCGGGCGGCTGCAAGTGCGTGGCCGGCAGCGTGCGCCTGGCCTGGCTGGCGCGTTTGGCTGGCCTGCTCTGCAAGCATGTAACACTGGAGCCAATATTGCCGCTAAGCACGGCAGAGGCGCACCTGCCGTGTCTGGCGTCAGACATCAAGGCAATTTTTGTCACATAGCAGACGTCTCCCAGACCTGGTGTCAGCCATTTACAAGCCTGCCGTCCTATACAACAGAGCCTGCACCCTTGGCCATGCCATTAGCCTGCCTGAAGCCGCAACGGTTCTTACAACCGGGTCAAGCAGCACTTAAATGATGCCGGGCTCAAGAGGTATTGCTGGCGCAGTTGCTGCCGCCGCTCCGCCAGGACTGAGTTGGCCGAGCTGCTGTTGCTCGTCAGGCTGTTGCTGCAGTTCCGGCGGCCGCTCCACAAAGGCGCTACAGCCGCGGGTCACCTCCACAGCCTTGCTGTATTGCACTGCGGTGGCCACAATTTCTGGCAGGCGCAGCAGCCCTGCACGCAAAGAACACGCCGAGCAGTCAGTAGTAATCACAAGAAGGAAGGACATTGTTAAACAACCGGGGCAATCTGTCACTGAGCACCCGCTGCGCCCAAGGTGCACCGCTTGCCTGTGTGGTATGGCACTGCCTGCCAGCTGACGGCAGCTGTGCTGTGCGGCAGCACTTGCACCCGCGTCGCCTTGGGCCCTGCAATGACAAATATGGGGCACCAGGGCAGCCTCCCAGCGTTTGCAAAAACACAGGGTCACCCACCCTTCCTGGGCCTCGCATCACGCCCTGACTTCGGTGGCAGCAGCAGCAGCAACAGGTCATATGACCTCCAGCTGGCCACCCCACATGCCAGTCCAGACACTCACCAGCAAGCAGGAAGCCGTGTGGGTCCCCCACTGTCACAGCCACCTCCTGGCAGGTGCTGCCGCCGTTGCGCAGCTGCAGGAGCAGCTCGGTGGGGCTGCCGGCGGTGGCGGCAGGCGGGAAGCGCATCTCCGCTGTCAGCAGCGGAGGCAGGAAGCAGACCGCCGGCAGCGGCACCAGCACCTCGCAGGCAGGCGCAGCTACTGCGGCAGCCGCTGCCTGCGCGCGCGGGCTTCCGGCGCCGTCGACCCCGCTACCAGGCAGCACCTCAGCAGCGGCCGCCTGGGCTGCGGCCGCGCTCAGCTGACTGGTGCCCCGCGCCGCCGCTGCCAGCAGGGGCGGGCGGCGTTGGTGCCGCCGCCAGCGCAGGCGCAGGAAGCCAAGCGAGGGCAGCTCTGCGGCGGCGCCGCTGCTGCTGCTAGATATGGTGAATGCCGTGGCAAAGATGTCCGAGCGCCCGAGGGTGTCGGCTGGTGCATCCACGCCGCCGCCGCCGCCGCCGCGTGCTGGCACCGCTGGTGCCGCTGCGGGCACCACCACCACGCCTTCTGCCGCCTCCACCTCCACAGCCAGGATGTCCAGCTGGCAGGCAGCCATGCTCTGCAGCTGCACCAGCGCGCCGCACCGCTGCCTCGCCGGCAGCACCAGCCGCGGTGGCAGGCTGCGGAGCAGCAGCACCGACAGGTCCCTGGCTCCCTCGCCCATGGCAGCCTCGGTAGCGGCGCTGGGAGGAGCCGGCGTGTCTTGCACAGACAGGCCCTGCAGCCGCCGCTGCTGCTGCTCCAGAGGCATGACCCCCGCGCCGCCCTCGCTGCCGCTGGTGCCGGAGCCGCCGCCAGCTGCCGGCTGCAGGGCCGCCAGCAGCGTGTGGGTGGCGGGCGGTCCCAGCAGCTGCAGGCCCAGCTTCCAGGGCGGCTGCGCCTGCACCGCCAGCGACGCGGAGCAGCGGCCCGCCTCAGAGGCGCCGCTGCCGCCGGAGCAGGCTGCCGTGTACTGCAGCGCAGCCATGTGGTCGGAAAGGGATCAGAGCAGAAGGGAGCACTGCAGGGCGTGCTGACGTGGGCATCACACCAGGATCAGGCAGGTGGGCAACACAAGCGCCCGCACGTGACAGCTGCGCTGAGGCAGCCTGTCGCACACAGCGCAGCAGGCACCGCGCCCGCCTCACCAGCAGCTCCACGTTGAGGTGCACTGTGCCACGGTACCGCACATCCAGAAGCAGTACCACCTGCCGCTGCTCCCCCGCCGCCACCTGCCCCAGGTGCTGCACCAGGCGGCCACCCAGCTCCGATGCCCCCCCTCCTTCCGCCGAGGGCTGCGCCGGCGCTGCCGCGCCCACCGTCACCAGGCCCAGCTGCTGCTGGCTGTCCGCGTGCACAGCCGTGGCACGCAGCGTGGCGCCGTGAATGGCGTCCGCCGCCGCCGCTGCCACCGCCACTGTCACCGCCGCCTGCTCGCCCTGCAGCAAGATGTCTGGGGCCTGGAGGAGCAGCAGCGGGGGTGCGTGCTGGGGCGGCACCTCCACGGCGCAGCTACCCGCCAGGAACCTGCAGGGCAGGGGACACGGCAGGCAGGGAAGGCAAGGTGGGCGCGTGCTTGCTGGACCCGCGCTGATTCACTGCACCCACCCGCGCAAACACCGAAGCAGAGGCTGGGCAGGTGCATGGGATTCTCCAGCTGAGCGCGCAGGTCGATCAATGGCCAGGCAGACAGACCGGGCGCAGGGCAGGAGCACCACCAGCGGGGAAGATGTGGAGGCACCCACCCGGCAGCTGCGCTGAACGGTGGCCGGCTGCTGGCCCAGCCACCGCGTAGCCACCCCACGGCGCCTGCCTGCATTGCTGCCGGCGTGCTGGCTGCATGCTGCTGGCCCGCCGCCGCTGGCATCAGCGCCCGCAGCTGGAAAGCAATGCTGCTGCCTGCCCCAAACTGCAACACCAGCGCCGTAGCTTGGAGCTGGCCCGAGCAGCGCACCGGAACGGCAACACCTAGTCGCAGGCAGCCCCCAGCCGGCAGCACCAGCCCCGCTGCCGCGGATGCGGGGCCGCCTCTGCCGCTGCCAGACGGCTCCGGCAGCAGCACGGCAGTGAAGGCGCCGGTACCGTCGCGAAGCTGCACCTCTGCTGTCACCAGCGGCAGGTCGATGGGGGCGTTGTTCCACACTGCCGCCGCGAAGCGCACGCTGCTGCGGGCCGCGGGCGCTGCTGCCGCTGCGGCTGCGGGGGCGCGAGCCGGGTCGAAGAACCCGGCACAGATTGGCAGCACGGTGAGCCAGCCCGAGTCGGCGCCGGCCACGCTGTACTGTGCGGCGCCACCCGCCTGCGGCTGCTCCTCGCCCGCCGCCTCCCCCAGCGCAAGCACCGACACGGCGGCGGTGGCCATGGCGCAGCGCTGCTCGCCATCCAGGCTGCTGTCCTGCAGGGCTGCCAGCTCCAGCGACAGCTCGGTGTGGGCCTGCAGTCAGGGAGCAACGGCATGCAGACAGTTGAGGGGAACGGGGTGGATGAGAGAGCAGCGTGGCGGGAAGCGCGAGCAGCACAGCGAGGCGGTAGAGGCCATAGTAGCGGCGAGCCCCTCCCGAGCCTCGCCTGCAGGTTGTGCTCGTGCTGGCGGCACTCGCGCAGCAGCAGCAGGGTGGAGGCCAGGGGCCCCTCCCAGCGCTCACGCCGGTAGAAGCCTTCAGGCAGGAGGGAGCGGCAGGTCGTGGTGGGCAGCAGGTGCAGCAGGGGAAACGCTGTGTGGGCATGCAGCGGCAGGGGGAAGCACACAGCCGGCCCTGGGCCCCGCGGCGCCAGGGGCAACGGCAGCCACTCCAGCGGTGGCAGCCACAGGTGCGCACCCGCCACTTCCGCGAGCAGGCGCTCCGCAGCCGCCGTATCCCCAGCCTCCAGAAGCTCGTGCCCCAGCAGCTGCATCGCATGCTGCAGCGTTTTGCCGGTCCGGCGGCCTGCAGGGTGCAACGGCCGCGGTTATGGCAAGAATTAAAATGGATCCAGTGCTGACAGCAGGCAAGCAATGGCGTTGCCATCCAGCGGCGGCGGCGCCGGCGCCGGCAGCCGGCGCACCCGAGCTTTGCAGGGACTCCTGCGCGGTGCGCAGCAGGTCGACCGTGGCTCGGCTGTGCTGCACCTTGCCCTCCTCAGCCTGCAGCAGGCACCAGCAGCAGCAGCAGAGTGCCACGAGTGGAGCTGGTGGCCGCAGGAAGACATGCGCGGCTGGCGGCTGCAGCTGGCGGAGCATTGGCCCGGCCGCATGGAAGGTGCAGGCAGGTCACGTGGCTCATGGCGGCAGCGCGACTGCCGCAGGGCACAGCACCCCACCTCCAAGTGCACTTCAAACTGATCCTCACTCAGGCGCTTGGTGGCGCCAGCCGCAGCTGCAGCGCCTGACACGGGAATGCCGGCCAGCGCAGCCGCCACCACCGCACTGCCGGCTGCCACTGCAGCTGCGGCGGGGTCGGCTGCCAGCAGCACAACCTGCCCCACAAACAGACCCGGCTCCACCTGCATGCAGCACCAGGCAGTATCACACGGGAAGCAGCACAGGCAGCGGCAGCAGGGTCATCGTCACGGCTACGGGCGCATGCAGGAGGGCTGGTACAGGCCGCCGCCCTGCTCACCCTGCCCGGAAGCGTAGGCGCCCTGCCGGCGTGCATGCCAGAAATGAAGCCTGCCACCTTGCGCCTCTCAATGGCAGCCTGAGCTGCCGCCAGATAGAGGTGACCGGGCTGGTGCTCTCGCTGCGGCAGGGGGGGCAGGGCAGGGCAGGGCAGGGGTGCGTGAGACCGGCTAGGAGGGAAGCGTGCGAGAGGTGGTACAGCAAGCACGCGGCAGGGCTGCACGCCGCCGTGCGACAAGAAAGAAGCAGGCACTATGCTGTGCCATGCAGGGCAGGCACCTTGAGCGCCGCCATGTCAGTGTCGCTGGACAGCAACAGCTCAGCCATCACAGTGTACTGCCTGCAAGGGGCGAGTCGGACAGCAGCATTTGACAGAATGTGGCGGCACCTTCCAGCTGGCTGCCATGGCACGCTCTCCCACCCGCCCTGCTGTGCCCATGCCCAGAAGCAGCCCGCTTGGCATCGAGCACAGCAGGAAGCCACACACCTGCACAGCCAGGCGTGGTGGCTGGCCAGCAGCCCGGGCGGTGCTTCAAATGGCACGCGCCTGCAGAATACCAAGCCCGGCAGTTCAGAGAGATAGCAGCTGTCTGGTGCCAGGTGGGCGTTCCGCTGCTTGCTGCTCACACCGCCAGCAGGGACGTCCCATGCAGCGCACAGGGACAAGTCACGTATCACGACCACCATCCCATCCAACCACCAGCCCAGGCGCACCGCACCTGAACAGGCGCAGGTGCGCATCAAACTGGGACACAGCCTCAGCCGCCTGCTTCAGCGCCAGCAGCAGCAGTGACGCCACCTGCACGCCAGGCAAGCCCACAGCGGCAGGTTTGGCAGTTGCCAGCTGGTGCAGACGCTGATGTAGAGCGGTAGGCAGCAACAGAACACACTCAACACACAAGGGGCCGCAGTGCCACCAGAAGCAGCAATGTGTTGTCAGACAGAGGAGAGCAGGAGGCAAACGGCTGCGGCAGCTCCAGGGGCAGACATGACGGCCAGAGCAGAGACGGCAAGCCAGACGCGGCGGCAGTGGCCCATAATAACGCGGCACCAGGTGCATCTCACCTTGACATGCACATACTCGGCCACTGTGCGCACCTCAGCAAACCGCTGCGGCTGCCCCATGCTGCCAGCCAGCACCTGCGGGGAGGACAGGCCACGGCGGGCAATGGCGGCAGGGTCGGCAAGCCAGCTGCAGCAGCTGGGGAAACCACCAAGCGCTGATGAAACGAGCCAGCCGAACGGCTGGATCAGCCGCAGTACCTGCGGTACATAGCCATACGCCTCGCGGTACAGCCGTACGGCACCCGCCCAGTCGCCACGAAATTCTGCCAGGGTGCTCAGCTGCAAGGAGGACAGAGAAAAAAGGCGCAAATGCAGGCCAGAAAGCGGCATCAGGCAGAGGCAAAGCATGCACTGCGCAGTGGGCGAGGATGGGGCTCGCGCGACGGCGGCGGTGGCGGGAATCAGCAGGCTCGTAGCAGGTGGCAGCAGGAAGACGCGAGCAGAGGTGGAGCATGCCTTGAAGGCTGTGCGCAGGTTGAGGTCGGTAGAAGGCACGTTGCGGTGGGCGTGGGCTGCCAGCCGCCGCTGCAAGCAGGCCGGCAAACAATGGAGTGAGCGGGCCACAGGATGCAGCGCTGCAGGATGTCCGCCTCAGTGTAGAGGCTGCGGCAAAGCCCGCCGGTCTGCTCTCGCGGCCCCGTCAGCAGGGGCGAGGCAGCGGAAGCCCAACCAAGCGCCCCGGCACCACCCACCTGCGCGTCTGCGGTGTAGTGCAGCACCGCCTGCTCGTGCAGCACCTTGCCCACTACTTGCAGCGCGGGCAGGCCCTGGGAGGGCGCAAAGGTCAGCACACACCTGTGGGCGGGAGGGGGACGCAGGCGGCAGCGCAAGCCAGTTGGTTGGGGTGAGCTGTGCAGAGTTCCAGGCGCCTTGGTGCGCACAGGGACGCCCTCTGCATGCTGCAAGCACCAGCAGCTGCACCACCAGCCACACAGCCACCCGTCTGCTCCTGCGCAGCCCACCTGCGGTCCACGCCCGCCTGGCGGCAGATCATGGCGATGCGATCCTCGGGCACCTCGCCGCCGACGCCAGCCGCCGGCCCCTGCTGTGCAATGATCACCACGATGCGAGTGCTGCGGCTCCTGCACGAATGGTGCCAGGCGACGCCAAGCGCGGCAGGGGTTGGCTGCTGGAGGGTCGCAGTGACAGAAGCACCCAGCACCCAGGCCCGGCAGGCGGCGGGAGGAGATGCGGCAGCACTGCAGCAGCACTGCAGCTGCAGCAAATGGGCAGTCAGGCAGCGGCGCACGCGCACTTGACCGCGGACTTGACTGCATCCAGCTGCGACACCAGCCAGGCCCAGGCCGAGGGGTCGCCCACCACTGCAGGCAGAGACCAGGGCGGGCCGGGGCTGAGCAACATTGTCTAACGTTGTCTAGTATTCCCCAAAGCGTCAGTTTCGTGCGGACGCAACAATGGCACGGCAGATCCAGCAGCAGGCACCAGGGCTAGGCGCCAACAATGGGCGCAAGGCGGATGCGGGAGACGAGCACGGGCAAGGAAGGGCCGCCAGCGCCACCCACCCGACTCGCAGTCGACGATCATAGCCGCCACGGCGGGGCGCGAGGTGCGGTGCTTGCGCAGCCAGCCCGCCTTGAGGATACCGGGCGTGGCGCCGCTGGGTGCTGCCTTCCTGACACCTGCCCCGGGCAGGTGAAGGACATTGCTACTTGAGCTGAGCAGCCGGCAACGGTGGGCGGCAGCGCTGTGGCGGCGGCACCGCCAACTCACCAAAGGTGCCCGCCGCGCTGTGCGCGTCGGAAATGCCGATGCTGTGGATGCGTGGCACATTTTGGGAGCGCAGGTAGTCTCCGAGCGAGATATGCAGCTCGGGCTTGCCAATCAGCGCCACCAGGGGCACTGGTGGGCTGGTGAGCTCGGCAGGATAAAACTCCATCGCGGTGGCTAGGCGCCAGGGGTCATGGAGGGGGCAAACGGGGCAAAGCGATCAAAGAGAACACGAAACGTGGCTTGTTGGGCGTTGCATGCCCACCACGATGCCCTGCTGGTGGGGCAACGGCAGGATCGATGCAAGGATGGCCAAAATGGCCGCTCTGCAGCCCTTCCGAGGCGGTGGAAAGTGAAGTGACCTGGCGAGTGCGTGTGGCACAGCGTCCTTCCGTGCCCAGGCAATCCTTGAAAGCGTTTTAGGGACCCCCACGCACTTGGAGACTATGCGGGGCACCCTGCAGCAGCAGCCCGTTAGCTGACTTACTGCACAACTCCTTGGCTTGTGATCAGCAGGGTCTGCGGACCTCCCCAGGGCCTCCAGCCAGGCAGGAGCGTCCCTTGGTCACTGTCGCACGCCCGTTGCCCTGCTCTGGCGGCGGCCCGGTTCTGGCCACCCGCCTCCCGCTCCAGCCGCTCGCTGCACACATGGCGCTCGCCGCGGTTGCACGCAGCAGCCTGTCGCCGCATGTATCGGCCAGCCTGCTGCAGCAGCTGCGGGGCATATGTAGCACCGCACTGGCAGCGCTGCACCAATCGACACGCAGTTCAGCAGCCGCGGCGGCAGCCGCGGCGGCAGCTCCACAGACCGTGGGGGTACAGCCGGAGCTCACAAAGATGAACCTGTGCAATGCAATCAACAGTGCCCTACACATCGCCATGGCGGAAAACCCAAAGTGAGTTGCCAATGCTGAGGCACGCTGCCTGCCTTGTGCCGCGTGCAGCCAGGGCCCATCTGTTCTGCCTCCCACCACGGCTGCCGCCTCCGACTCCACCACCTGGCCTCACGGCCACGTGCTGCACCGATGCAGGACGCTGTGCTTTGGTGAGGACGTGGCATTTGGGGGCGTGTTCATGTGCAGCAGGGGGCTGCTGGAGCGATTCGGGCGGGACCGAGTGTTCAACACACCGCTCTCTGAGCAGGTGCGGTGCAGCAGGCACACTGGGAAGGCACCTGGCTGTGTCGGTGGGTGCCTGGCCTGCTGCCTTCCATGTGCCGAGGACATGTTTACAGCCTTGTGCCTAGATATGTTTCGACGCCGCGCTGCCACCAGCCGCATGTCTCCTGCAACGGCTGCAGCCGGCTGCCCCCGCCTCCTGCCGCCAGCCACCAACCGCTGGCGGCGTGGCGCCCCCTGTGCTCCCCGCAGGGCATTGCTGGCTTTGCCATAGGAGCGGCGGCGGAGGGCTACCGCCCCGTTGCCGAGATCCAGTTTGCCGACTACATCTTCCCGGCCTTTGACCAGGTGGGTGCCTCTGGCCAGATGGGAGCGGTGGCAGCCCCTGGGCTGAATCTCGAGGCTCGATCTGGGGCCGGAGCAGGCTGTACTTGGGCTGAGCTGGCAGCTCGGCAGGGATGCAGCTGGGCGTGCAGCCGGCGTGCCGTGGCATGCAGCTGTGAGGGTGGGTTTGCCGGAGGGGGTGGCTAGAGTGGTAGCATGCCGTCAATGCCCCGCCCGCACGGCGCCCAGGTCGGGGGCGGGCCAGTGCTGGGCGGCAGCTTGTTGCGATCCACATGCTGCGCCATGCTGCGACCGGCCGTGGTGTGCTCCTGCCGCCACTGGCCCCGCCCCGCTCGCAGATCACCAGCGAGGCAGCCAAGTACCGGTACCGCAGCGGGGGGGCGTACGATGTGGGCGGCCTCACCATCCGAGCGCCCTACGGTGAGCTGTGGTGCCGCAGCAGCGGCGAGGCTGGGGTGGCCCCCGCGCATGGATGGCGCTGTTGTGTTGCCTGCAGCCGCTGATGCCCGCCCATGCACGGCAGCCGTCGCGGATTGTCAACATGCCTGCTGATGTCAACTGTCGGCGGCTGGCAAGGGCATGCTGCCCTGCTCACGCCTTCCATTGTCCTCCCTGCAGGCGCGGTGGGGCACGGAGGCCACTACCACTCCCAGTCCCCAGAATCCTTCTTCACACACATCCCTGGCATCAAGGTTTGGAGGCGCCTGCCATTGCCTGCGGGCCGCAGCAAGCAGCAACAGCGAACAGCGGCAGCATCGAATAAGGTGGCACTGGAAGGGCTTTGCTCACCGTGCCAAGCTGTTCTCCGTCTGCAGGTTGTGATGCCTAGCGGCCCGCGAGAGGCCAAAGGTGCGCTGGTGACCGCGGCGGCAGATGTGCATGGCTGGCGGATGCCCCGAAAGCCGCCTGTGGCGCTGCATCCCTGGTCGGTGCTTGCTTGCCCAGCCGACATCCGACAGCCTGGCTGTTGAGCTCCAAAGGAGTGTGCTGGCCGCGCCACGCCCTGCAGGCCTGCTGCTAGCCTCCATCCGCGACCCCAACCCCACCATCTTCTTTGAAGCGAAGATGCTGTATCGCACAGGTGAGTGCTGTACTGCACGGATGGGGGGGCAGGGCCAGCGGCAGCATCGGGGCGCGGTGCTGCTGAGCCGCTTGGCATCTTTGTGGGGCCCGTTCTGCTTGCCTGTCTTTGCTGTTGCTGGGGGCTGTCCCCACCCCCGCCCCCTCCCTACCTGCCTGGCGCAGCGGTGGAGGGTGTGCCGGAGGGCGACTACGAAATCCCGCTGGGCAAGGCTCGGGTGGCGCAGCAGGGCAGCGACATCACGCTGGTGGGGTGGGGCCAGCAAGTGCGCGTGCTGGAGCTTGCGGTGAGCAGGGGCAAGGCCGCAGGCGGGGCGGAGGGGTGCTGCCGCGGCTGCCGGCGCCATCGTTGCCGCCGCCGCTGCTGCTGCTGCTGCTAGTGGCACTAGGGCAGGTGCCGACTAGCGCTGCTACTGGGAGAACACGCTGTCACCACAGACGTGTCCGCGCCTGCCTGCGCTGCGCGCCTGCGCCCGCAGGCCAAGGAGGTTGGGGAGAAGGATGGCGTGAGCTGCGAGGTGATCGACCTGCGCACGCTGCTGCCCTGGGACGCAGACGCGGTGGAGGCGTCGGTGAACAAGACGGGCAGGTGCGGTGGGTGGCGCGTGCGCTGCTCCCGTGGAAGAGGCTGATAGGGCTGGCACAGGAGGGCGGCTAGCCGTCGCCGGCGGCGGCGCGGAACGCGCTCTGCTGGGATGCTGGATGGACAGCAGCACTGCCCTCTGTACGGTGTACAGGGTCATGATCCAAAACCTGCAGTGGCCACACCCTGCATGCGGCTGGCTGCCTGCGCAGGCTGCTGGTGAGCCACGAGGCGCCCGTGACCAGCGGGTTTGGCGCCGAGGTGGTGTCCACCATCACAGACAGGCGCGCTTTGGCTGCCGTGTGGGGGACAGCATCTTGCTGAGGTGTTGTGTCCCTGAGCAATCGGCAGCCTTACTGCTGGGTGCTCCCCGTTGTGCAGGTGCTTCTATTCTCTTGAGGCGCCCCCCGCCCGCGTGTGTGGCTACGACACACCCTTTCCGCTGATCTTTGAGCCTCTGTACCTGCCGACCGCGCGGCGCGTTGTGGACGCTATCCGCGCCACCATGCGCCACGGCTGACGGCGCGGACGCGGGCAGGCAGCCTGCTGCAAACTGTCTGTAACAATATGGAAGCCGCCGATTTCTGTATTTGAGCTGTGCCACTCACGACCATTTAATCTGTTTCATCTGCTGCTGCTGCCCCAGCAAACAAAACTTTGTTAACTACATGAAAAGTCACTGGACAGCGTCTCGTGCAAATGGCTTTTGTAGCACGTCACGTGCTCTCAGGTGCTGCAGCATTTCAGGCATCTGCCGTGGCTGTTCCCAGGCGGCAGGCAAACCCCGCCGGGTCTGCTCGTGCTCTTCATCAGGCGGCGGCACCATGAGCTGGCCCGGCTGCGTGCCTGCTTGTTGCCAAGTGTGCTGCCCTGCCATCGCTGCTGCTGCCGCCTGCTGCATGGGGTCCTCATGGCGCTGCCCGGCCACAGCCCCCTGCTCGCTCCCATGCAACCCCTCGTGCTCCATCCCCTGCCGCGTGGCGGACCGGCTGGATGCCGCTGAGCTCATGGCTGACCGCAGAGCGCGCAGCTCTCCCAGCAGGTCGAAGTACTCGCCTTCACGGTGCCGCTGCGCCGCCAGCGCCTCCGCCAGCTCTGCCTGCAGCGCGGTGGACATGGCAGGGGTGGACCCTGCGCCGGCCGGGGCGCGCTGCCGGCGGCCCTGAGCCGACGCAGGTGGCGGGCCAATGCGCTGGAGACACCACTCCTGCGTGTGCCTCCAACCTCAATTGCAATGGTACGGCCTGCCGCTTGCTGAGAGAGGTCAGCACCCGCTCTTACTTTGGTACCTCGCATCTCGGCGGCACGCTCCTCTCTCATCCTGGCCAGCTCCGCAGCATGCCGGGCCCGCTCCAGAGCCGCCGCCTGCTCCCCAGCCTCCTGCGCTGCCACCGCCGCCGCCTGTACTTCGGCCAGGTGCCTCCGCACGGCTGCCAGCTCCGCTTCTGCAACCTGCTGGGCCCGCCGCTGATCTGCCGCGGCCTGACGCTGCGCGATCAGCCGTGCCTCTGCCGCCGCCACCTGCACCCGCTGCTGGTACTCTGCGCCCAACTGCTGAATCTTGTCCTGCAGCCACGCGGGTGGCGCCAGTGCCCAGCGAAGTGCAAGGCAGGGCGTCAAGTGCGAGGGAGTGAGTCAGGCCCTGTACAAGACTGAGGGACTGTGGATAGTACACTGCCTGGTAGAGCTCGCTGCACAGCCCGCAGCGACAGGTGAAGGAGCCCGCACCTTCAAGTAGCGGCAGTCGTCACGCAGCAGGGCCGCTTCCGCCTCACGGGCCGGGTCCTCCAGCGCATCTGACAGCGCCGCTGCCACCCGCTCATGCTGCTCCGCCTGCCATCCACATCAGCACAGCGAGGGGGGAAGCGGTACGGTCATCAGGGAAAGCAGCAGCATTGTGCGCAGGTGCAGGCAATGCGGCGGCACCCAATGGCACAGCCAGCTGGTCAGCGCCCCACCTGCAGTGCCAGAGCCGCCTCATGCGCTTGATGCAGCCGCCGCAGCGCTGCCTGGTGCTGTTGCTGCAACGCCTCCAGCCGGCTCTGGAAACTGTCATGCAGACGTTGCACCAAATCCAGCGGCACTGCATCTGCTGCAGAGGGCAGCTGCACCCCCAGCTCAGATTGCAGCACCGTGGCAGCCGCTTCAGCGGCTGCTGTCGATTCGGCGCTCAGCAGGCTGGCACGCAGTTGGGCTAGCTGCTGCAGGGACGCATGCTTTGTCAGCGCTACCTGCTCCACTGCTGCTGCTGCCAGCTGCTGCTGCAGCTGCGCATTGCTGCGGCGCAGCTGTGACACCTGCAGCTTCAGCGCTTCCACTTGTGCTGCCAGGAACAGGTTGTCGGGCTGCAGCGCAGGAGACGACGGCGCACCTGTCACTGTCCCGCTGCCGGCGGACGTCTGCTGTCGCTGCGGCTGCTCCAGTGCGTCCGCAGTTTTTTGCTGCAACGCCGAGTGCTGCTGTCTGGCTGGCACGTGGGCGAGGATGGCAGTGGCGCCACCATCCCTGCATGGCGGCGGCGCTTCTGAGGAGCGGGCGGGCAGGGTTGGTTGGCACGCCCCCAGCAGAACGGCGGCGGGCGCCATGGCAGCAGCAGCAGCTAAGAGAAACCTGCACACGGGATTCTGGGGCTTGGACAGGGCAGACAGGCGGCCAAGCCAAAACTCCTCCTCCTGCATCACCAGCGACGGTGGCGGCAGCGGCGGTTGAGCGGGGGTGGCTGGTGCCGGCCGCAGCGAGTGCGCGGCAGGCGGCCGCTGTCTATCCCTACCCGTGTGTACATGGCTGGCAGGGCAGCCGAGCGGCGCAGGGCAACACTGCACAGAGAGAATTCACGTGTGCCCTCGCTATTGCACACCAAGCGGGGCCCTGGAGCCCGCAAGGAGTTCAGGAGGCATGCAGGAACACGGTGGCAGCACGCGAGTGCAGCGCGCGGCTGCGCTGAATGGAAGGCAGCGCCTGCCAGCGTGGAGGCGCCGCCGCCAGCTGCAGCGCGGCCTGGCTAGTCCCAGTTGCATCTTCTGTGTCAGGCGAGTCCCTTTGATACCAGAAACTCGACGAGTCCTCAAGGCAACGCTCTGCTGCCAGACGGTCTGGCGTCGGGGGCGGCGGGCTTTCGCCGTGGTGATAGCGGCGTGCACGCTGTGAGGGCCCTCCAAAGGCCCAACGATGGGTTATCCAACGGGTATAGCAGGTATGGTAGCTGAGGATGGTATACCTTGCTGGTGGGAGGGAATTTGACATGATGTGCTTGCCTTCAGGAGGCGAGGGGGCGAGCATGCGGAAAAGACAGCAGCAACAACAAACTGGGCCCTGCTTCCACTCAGTGGGAAGGTGTATCAATGGCAGTGATCCGATGGTGGGGCCTGACGCAAACGAATGAATACATGAAATTGAAGAATTGGCCAGCCAGCAACCGGCATTGAGGTGATGTGGCAGGCTTCCTGTTGGAAGTGGGGGCTCGCGCCAGCAGCGCTAATCGGCCTTTCTGCTGCTGCTAGGCCGCTGCTGTTAGGCCGCTGCTGTTAGGCCGCGGCTAAGAAAGGCCTTCTTTGAAGGCGCTGGAGCTAGTGTCTAAACCCTCCGAGAGGGCACAGGTTCGATTCCTCCCATGTCGAAACTTTGTGAGGACAAACGCGGCATAGCTGACCGGCTCAGCGCCAATCCAAGCCAATTCCTTCGGGAACGCCTAATAGAATCGCCAAGGCTTCGGCACAGGCCTCCCCGGGACCCATTCACTACTAGTGGGGGGTACTGCACTTGGCGCGTCGGGCAGATCAAATAATGGTCTAAAGCTAGACGTTAAAACCGGGAAGTGAAGCTTGTGGAGGCTCTTCCCCACCTTTACCTTTACCTAGCTGCTGCTGTTGTTCACCCCCTGTGCCGTCCCACTGACGGGTTGTTGCTGCATTCGCACTACTGCAGCAGTGCTGCGCCGCACAAACGGTCCATGCACAATGCGCATATAGGTATTGAACTGCAGGCAGGTGCAGCGGCGGGTGCAGCAAGGATGCACACGTCAGCAGCTATGCCTGCATGCAAGCCCCGATGGCCATGCGCAACAAAGGCAAGTCTGCGCCTGGCAGCAAGCGCGGCCGCATCGCCGCAAGCAGGCGGCCTACACACCTGCTGCGCCGCCAGCTTGTCATGTGCAAAGGGGTAGGGAGCACCCAGCCGCTCTGCCACAGCCAGGCCTGATAGGAGGAGGCAGCAGCAGCAACAACAGCAGGGAGGCCGGCAAGTGTCAACAGAGCGGCCGCCACTGTTTGGGTGGGATATGGAGCAGGGTGGTGCCAGGGTGACGTGTATGCACGGCAGCAATGTGGCGGGGCACAGCCATTGAGAAGCATGTCAGCATGCGAGCCTGGCGCCTGCGCCCCTCCGTGCGCACCACTCATTGTGGCGATTTCATGAGTGTTGAACAGCGTGTAGGCGCCCGCATACCAGGTGTGGTGCCGACCCTGCAGGAATTGGACCTGCGGCCGCAGCAGCAGGTGCGTGTTGAGGTGGCCAGTGGGGAGGCGAGCAGGCACTCAACTTCGGCAGGGCATTCGGGCAGAGGAGGCAGCATGATACGCTACGAAGACCTCAAAAGGGAAGGCACTCACGAAGGGCACCCAGGTAGCAAAGTGGCGCCAGGTGTGGGCAAACTGACGCGTCATGCGTGTCTTCAACACCTTGGCCTGCAGGGGAGGAGGGCGAAGGACTGTTTTTTGGGCAGAAGGCCCTCCACTGCCCAAGCACGTCAGGCGAGAGCGCGTGGTGCACCAGCTGCGGCGCTATCAGCTTGGGCCACCGGGGTGCCTCCAGCACCCCTGTGCCCCTCCACAACACCGTGTGATGCCCACTTGCCTTATCGATGGCGCCTACCGTCCAATGCTGGCGGTGGGTGTCGTCCAAAAAGATGGACTGATAGATGGGGCGACGGCCTGGCAGGCACATGGAAGGCAGCCAGGGGCAGCGGGTTCGAAGGTGCAAAGGCGGGACATAGAAGCCGTCTGGCAACAAGGCAGGCTCCGGCTGCATGGCAGAGAGTAGACGATGCTGGGGCGGCGCGCTGCATGCGGGGCACAGGCGGAGCGCAGCAGCATCAGCAGGCCACTGCAGGCAGCCCCACCCTGCAGGTGTGGTTGGTACATGGACAGGTTGAAGCTCATCTCAATGCGCTCCCTGCAGCAGCGAGGTCGGCAGCGGCGGCGCGAGTGGGCGACCACCAGCTGAGCGCCAGACCCTGCTGCGCCCCATTAGCACCTTGCCCCTGCACACACCTGTCCGCTGGGTCTGTGCGCACAAAGTACATGTCCCGCTGCTCCAGCCGCAGCTCATAGTGCCTGGCAGGGCGCAGAAAGTGGAGCATGACTGAGTGAAGCAGCAGCGGTAGCGACAGCGCCTAGCAGCATCAACAACAGCGGGGTGGTGAAAGCCTGTGTGGCGGCGGCGGGCAAGCCTGAACCGAGCCAGGTGGCAAGCTCCAGCAGAACCACACCTTCCCACCTGCTCATGTAGCCCTGGTCCTGGTGTGTGACGATGAGGTCGTTGTAGTAGCGCACATTGGGCAGCAGGCACGCCTCCAGGCGGTGGGGAAGCAGGGCAGGAAGGAGAGGTCAAGCAACTAAGGCAGAGGAACATCAAGGCCGGGAGGCAGGCCCTGGGGAAGGCAGGGAATGCCCGTTGCCAGTGGCACTTCTGCAGCTGCTGTTCTGGGTGCTGCTCCCTTACCTAGAGGCGTCGCTGCCCAGCATACGCAGTGCCTCCTCGGCGCCGCACGCAAACA